TATAATACTTATATACTCAGCATACAATAAAAAATTACCAGACATGGAAAGAAGCAGGAAAGTATGGGCCTATAATAAGGGCCAAAAATTTTAAATAGGAATATACCCAAAAGGGACAGAGATAACGAAGTTAACAGACATGGAATTAAGCATTATAAACTGCTGAAATAGTCCAATGAAGCCATTATATATTAGGAAAGAACAAAAAACAGATTTAAACAACAAAAATGAGAAAAACGTATGGGAACATCCAGAGATTACAACACTTGAACAACAAAATTCATTGGGTGGGCTTAACAGAAGACTAGACAGTGAATAAGATGTCAGTGAATTTAATAACAGAGCAACAGAAACTATCAAACTTGAGTTACAGAAGGAGAAGAAAAAAAAAAAAGGTGAGAAAAAAAGAGTAAGAGACCTTCAGTGGCATGTGGAAATCTAACTACTTGATATTCCCACTGAAGCTCTTGCTCTTTTCTTCTGGGTCTTTTTTTGAGATGAGTAGTTAGACTAATTTCCCTGATATCAGTAGCTAGACTAATCCTATTGGTCATGTCCCATTTAGAGAGGTTTGGGCAGAAGGAATGATTAAAAAAAAAAAGGCTGAAAATCTGGAAAATAGATAAAAATCATGAAACTCTGGATATAAGAAGTCCAACAAACCCAAGCAAGACAAATGAAAACACATCATACTTAAATTTCTGAAGGCAGAAAAAGGAGCAGAGGATAAAGAGGCCTGCAGGCATCTTTTCAGGACTATGGATGCCGTAAGATAAAGTAAAAGCTCTGAAAGGCAGAGATAAAAAAGAAAGACTGTCAAATGAAAACTTCAAAACAGCTTTCAAAACTGACAGCAAAGGAGGCCCTGAGCAATGGCTCACACCCGTAATTACAGCACTTTGGGAAGCTGAGGTGGGTGGATCACCTGAGGTCAGGAGTTCAAGACCAGCCAGACCAACATGGTGAAACCCCAGCCCTAAAAAAAAAAAAAGTACAAAAATTAGCCAGGTATGGTGGTACAGGCCTGTAATCCCAGCTACTCAGGACACTGAGGCAGAAGAATTGCTTCAACCCAGGAGGCGGAGGCTGCAGTAACTCAAGATGGAGTCACTGCACTTCAACCTTTATGACAGAACGAGATTCTGTCTCAAAAACAAAGAAAAAGGCAAAATGAAGACAACTTTCAAACAAAAATTGACACAATCTCTAGCAAATTTCACTACAAGACATGTTGTAAGAAGTTCTTAGAACTAAAGAAAAATGGCAGTAAATGGAAACTTGGATCAACACACAAGAAAGAGAAGTCCCAGAACAGGTAAGCACATGGGTAAATGGAAAAGATTGTTTTCATTTTTTACTCTCTTTAAAATATGCTTGACAACTTCAAACAAAAAACAGCAATGCACTATGAGGCTGATAATATGTAGAAGTAAGATAAATGACACAAATACAAAGTATGGGAAGGAAGTCATGTCTCAAGACTCTTACACAGTAAGTGACATGGAGAAAGACTGTGGTAAGTTAAAAACATATATTGGAAACATGATAATGACACAAAACATAACTAATACACACAGCTAATTAGCCAACAATGGTGATGAAATGGAAATATAACACAACACCCAAAGATGAAAAGAAACAAAGAAATGGGTAATTAGAACATAAGGAGTAAAATGCCTGACTTCAGCTCAACCATGTTAATGATTACAGTAAAGGTACACAATAAAATGCAGCAATTCTCAGAATGAAAAAGCAGTACCTACTTTTATTACATTAAGAAACAAACTTTAAATTCAAAGAAATATATATGAAACATAAAATGATGGAAAAAAATAAACCATGTAAATGCTAATTTTAAAAAAGCTGGAATTACTATAATAGTAAAGAACAAAATAGATGTCTCAACAAAGAATACTACCAGGAATAATGAAAAAGGGCCAATTCAAGAAAATACAATAATTTTGCATGTGTATGAACCCAAAAACAGTGCTTCAATATACATAAGAAAACAACTAACAGAGCCAAAAGGAGAAATAGTTAAATCTACCAAAAGTATGAGATCTTAAAAGTCTTCTTCAGTAATTAAGACTAAAAACGGCAGAAAAAAAAATTTTTTAATAACAGTTTCCATTAGCTTGACCTAATGAACATTTACAAAACATCCAGACAACAGGAGATCAAACATTATTTTTAAGTTCACATGGAGTACTGACCCAGAGAGTTCCTATGCTGGGCCATATCACAAGTTTCAATACATATGAAAGGACTGAAATAGAAAAGAATATGTTCCGTAACCATAAGAGAATTAAATAACAATAAATTACAAGACACTGGGAAAATCCCCAACTATTTGGCAAACAAATATGTATTTACAAATAATCAAGGGATGAAAAGAAGAAATCATGAAAGAATTAGAAAATATTTTTAATTAAATAACAAAAATGCAGAATATCAAAATTTGCATGACAGGTAAATACTGCTTGGAAAGAGGTTTATAGCTCTGAAAGTTTATAAACTTTCAGAAATAATAAGTAAAATCAAAGGTCTAACTTCCACCTTATGGAGGAAGAAACAAAAATAGTATTATACATAAACTATGTAGAATGAAGGAAATAAAATCCGAGCAGAAATTAACAACACGGAAAATGAACAAACAATAAAGATAATCAATGAAACCAAAAACAAGTTCTTTGACATGATCAACAAAATACAGACAGGATATAAACTACCAATATTGGGCGTGAAAGAAGGAATCCTAAAATAGCTAAAAAATAATAATAGAATATTAAAACTTTATGTCATTAATGTTGTCAACTTACATAAAATGAACTAATTCTCTGAAAAACACACATTTTCAATGAACAGAAAATCTGATTAACTCTATACCAAAGAAATTCAATTCACAGTCAAATGTTTTCCCACAAAGTAAACTCTTGGATCAGAGAGTTCCAAAAGTGAATTTGTTCAACATTTTAAAAAAATAACACCAATTTTATGCCAACTGTTTTAAAAATTACAGGAGGCAAAAAGACTCCCCAACTCTTTATAAGGGCAGCTTACCCCTAGATATCCAACTGAAGACATTAAAAAAAGGCAATGCAGATCCATATCTTTCATAAACATCAGCACAAAACATCCTTAACAAAATATTAGCAGATCAAATACTGTGACATAATCAAAAGACACTCAGTATGACTAGGTGAGGTTTATGCCAATAACACAAGGTTGGTATAACATGTGAAGTCAGACCACAGACCATCATATTAATAGATAAAGGACAAAATCCATACGATCATCCCTACAGATACAGAAAAGCTTTGGAAAAATCTAACACCCATTCAGGATAAGACCTCTCAGCCATCTAGGACTAGAAAGAACCTCCTCACCCTGACAGGGACTCCCTTAACAAGCTGCAGGTGGCATCAGACGTGAAGGCAGAATGGTTCTGCTCAGAGACTGTCAACAGGACACATCACCAAAGAGGACAGGCAGATGGCAAACGAGCAGGAGAAACAATGTTGTGCACGACCAGCCCCCACAAAAATGCAAGCTGAAGCCCCAGGAAGGTAGCACTGCACACCGTCAGATGACTATAATAAAAACTGGTGACAACACTGAAGGTGGCAAGGACAGAGAAACTGGGTCACTCATCCAGTGCTGGTGAGGACACGGAACGGCACAGCCACTCTGGAAAAGTTTGGCAGCTCCACTGAAAGCCACACTGTGTGATCCGGGAAGTGCCCCATGCACACACCCCGCCCCACCCTCAGGTGAGGAGGTGCTCTCCCTGGCATCTGACTTCATGATTTAACAGCTGCCTAGTTGACTCTACCCACTGCAAAGCAGGTAAAAGACAGCTGTCAACTGCCCAACCTCTCCAACCTGCTCATCTGTTAGTCCAGTAGAATCTACCTTGCTTCATTCACTGACCATGAAAAATGTAAGTTGTAGTAACTCTAAACATATAAATTATTCATAGTATCCTACAGAATTTACGTAAACAATCATAGAACACTGGAAATTAAAATCCCATGAAAACAAATCATCTGAGTAGCACTCACTGCCTGGCTTTGACTGAGAAGCCTGACCCAGAGAAGGAGCTTGGACAATTTTCAAACAGAGCTTCTGACCTGAAGGCCAATGAAGCCCATGTGATATACAGGGAGAAAACAGGGGAAAGAAAAACATTTCTATGTGCCTAAGAAGGAGAAAATTAAAAATAGGATATTCATTTGAGAATATCCGGTATTACTGATTTGGAAGAATCTCCACACTAGCATGAATTTACTTTTTAACTGGCAAACATCAATACCAAATCACAAAGAGGGACAAATAGCCAAATAAAAACTAAAAGTTTCTGGCTGGGAGTGGTGGCTCACACCTTTAATTCCAGCACTTTGAAAGACCAAAGTGAGAAGGCTGCTTGAGGCCAGGAGTTCAAGACCAGCCTGAGCAACACAACAAGACCCCCCACCGTCTCTACAAAAAAAAATTAAAAATTAGCTGGGCATTGTGGTATACACCCGTACTCTCATCTACTCAGGAGGCTGCAGAGAGAGTATCACTTGAGCCCAGGAGTTTTAGGGTGCAGTGAGCTATGATCATGTTACTGTACTTCAGCCTGGGCAACAGAGTGAAAACGTGCCATTTAAAAAACAAAATAAATTAAAAAAGAAAAAGGACATTAAGAGGAGGAGGAGGAGGAGGAGGAGGAAGAGTAGGAGGGGTCAAGAAGGGGAGGAAGGGGAGGAAGGTGAGCAGAGGAGAAAGAAAACCTGTGTCAAAAGGAAAATTCAAAACTACCTAAAACTGATTATGTGCTAAGACATCACAGAAATTATTTTGGCATAATTTTGTGAATTGCCTTCATAAGGAATAAAGAAATGATAAAATAAATTCTCAATGCATTAAATAAAATAGCTTGTATAAACAGAAATATACATGAAACCTAGAAACCACCACTAAAAATAAGAGGATGGAGAAGTCTCGATGCTGCTCACCCCAAGAGCCGGCAGCCGTTGTGTGCAGCTCACCGCCACCTTCAGCTTCCAGTCAGTTTCACCATCTAGTTGATCAGTTCGAATAAAACACGAACCTTGGAAGTAGAGAATAAACATTTACCACTCTTGAATTGTGTTACAGAAGGTTTTTCCTGAGCTACAGGTACCATCAAAGAATAATTCCAGGGCACAGCAGGACAAAGAAATAACAATCTAGACATTCCCAGGAACAAAAATCCTTAAAAACCTTTATTTTACACAATGTTCCTTGCTTCACAAAATAAGTTTGATGAAAAGATGTAGACCATTAAAAATTTTTTTAGGTAATCACTTATTTCCTGTTTGCTGTTCTTGCCTATTAAGGTTTAACATTAATCAGTCTCCTATTTTAGAAAAACTACATTGATCATTTCTACTTTCAATGTATGTTTTGATAATAACAAAATAACAAATACACAAAAATATCCAAGAATGTGTGATATTATCTTGCTAATATCAGATTTACCATCATAAAAAATGTTCAATCATAAAAGCACAGCTACAATGCTGAGACCCAGGTTAAGTGTTACAATATGCTCACAAGCCTATCCAGTTTCAAACATGGTAAGATATTCTATTAGGAAAATCCATTCCTCTTTGGCCATGCTGTCATCCTACTTCTCAGAATCTATTCTAATGACAAAATAGCAAAAGCACAAAATGAAAAACACACAAGACTGCTCCTTCCAGCATTATTTCTAATAACAGAGGACTGTTATGAAACAAAGGGGAGCAAACAGTACTAGCTGAATAAAATAGAGCACATGCACCAATAAAGAAAGTAAAGCAAATAAGATGACCGCAATAGACTGTCATGGAAAGACGTCTATGATGCAGACTGTGAAATGAAGAAAGCAAGGTGCAGCACACTGTAAATAGAAAAATACATTATCGTTAAGAACAAGGGAGGGAAGAGAGGGAATTCATGTGTCTTCATACATCTCTCTATGCATGTATCACTGTATATACGTGCATGTTCATCTGTGTGTGGATATGTGCCCATGTGTGTATCTGTGTGCGCATGTATGTGTGCGCACACATGGCTAACTTGTGTGTGCTGTGTGTGCACATGCATGTATATATGTATTTGTGTATGCATGTATGTGTACATGGGTATCTGTGTATAATATGCATATATAACTGTAAACAAGTACCTGAGGATCTGTGTGTTTCTGTGTGTGTGCATATTGGTGTGTGAACATATCTGTGTGCATAAGTGTGTACGTATGTCTGCATGCATGCATATCTGTGTATGTGAAGGATGTGAGGGCATGAAAATCTGTGTTCCTATGTGTGTATATCTCTGTGTGAGTGTATCTGTGTGTGTACAAATGCTTCTGTGTGTGTGTGCACATATACCTATGTACACATGTATATATGTATAATTCCTATAGGGGAAGGGAACAGGAATAGATTTTAGGCCTTCTGAATATAACATATACTGTTCACTTAAAATCAGATATATTTTATATAATTAAAAAGCCAGATTACACCAAACATTTTTAAAACTCCTAAAGAATTAAAAGCAGCATATAAAACATAATTCACAGTTTAATCAAAGAGAATTCATCCAGGTAACTTTTGAGGTTGCAGAATTTTTTTTAAGGGTTTTTTTTTCCTTTTTCAAGGGACAGGATCCTGCTCTGTCACCCAGGCTGCAGTGGTGCAGTAGCACAATCACAGATTGTTGTAAACTCAACTTCCTGTGCTCATGCGATTCTCCCACCTTAGCATCCCAAATAGTTGGAACTACAGGCATGTGCCACCATGCCCAGCTAATTCTTTTTCATTTTTTGTACAAGTGGGGTATCACTATGTCGACCAGACTGGTGTCAAACTTTTGGAATCAAGCAGTCCTTCCACTTAAGCCTCCCCAGATGCTGGGATTATAGGCATGAGCCACCCACCACACCCAGCCAGAAAATTTTAAATTGTAAAAGAAAATAGTTACAGAAAGCCACACAAGCATAGGTATACCTAGCAAATTACTAGAAACCAAATACCCTGTGTAAACAACCTCAAGGTCCCTCAGGAGACCCTCCAGTGCCCCATCCCAAACACAGGCCCCTCGTCCTTCCAAAACGGGTCGCTTCTACCTCCTTGCTTTGCTTAAGAGTTCATGCCCAAATGGACATCCTCAGACACTAGAGCTGAGCCCTACCTATCCTTGCTGTCTTCAAAGTCACTTTTATTCTATAGGTCCCCTCCCCTCTACTCCTCTCTCCTTCTGATTCATCTGCTGAAAGACCTGGGTCTGCACTAGACCATCTGCATGCTTGTGGTCCAGTCTGACTGCCTTCCCCATCCACCTGCCTGGAGCCCAGCCCTTGCTCCAGCTGGCCTTCAGCACTACAGCACTGTTTCGACCTAGAGGCACCAGGTCCAGATTCTGCTCTACTTGGTGTGGCGGCCACTCATGCTCAGCACCAAGACACGCTACGTCACAGGAGGATGTAGAGAGAGATGATCTGTCCTACTTTTTAATTTCAGCTGAAAATAAAGTAGACAGAGCAGCTTCCGCCCTTTTGAGCTGGGTGTGGTCACCCAGTAGAACAGCTCCTGTAGGGAAGGGTGGCTCCCTGTTGCTCTTCACCCATGTTTCGGGACAATGAACTGGCACTGCCATCCCCAGATGGTGAACAATGGGGTGAACAGCAGTATTTGTTAAGTCTCAATACAATGTAATGATTATTGTTGTCCTTATTACAGAATCTCAGATTGCCCCATAATTGGCCAATGAGAGTCTCTTCATGTGGTGCCTGAGTCCCGGCGACATGAACCTAGTAGACTCTGGTGATTTTACTGCAAACTGGTATCACGAGATGCTCATTGCCACTGTACTGAATATTGTTTCTAGGTCTTTTCACTGGACAAAGCAAGAACAAAAAGAAAGAAATGGAGAGAGAGAGAGAGAGAGAGAGAGAGAGAGTGTGTGTGTGTGTGTGTGTGTGTACCCACACACAAGGTAACTCATGAGTTCACAATGACATTGCCAATTCCAGGTCAGTAACACAAGATGTTTTCTTAAAGCTCTTTGATACTACAGCTACATCTTCCTTCTTCCATATTGAGAATCCTGATTTTCAAGAACATGCGAGAAGACAGAATAAGAATTCCAGCAGGCCCTGTGGTTTTGGGTGGTTTGCTCGAATCTGCCAGCATTTGGGGCTTTGTAGAGATAAGTGATAATTTCATTTTATTGTAAATGTTGTCCAGGGGTTGTTGGCTCTATCTAGTTGCTCAGTCTGTCCTCTTAGATCGGTGTGATATTTTTACTTAAAAGTCAACAATCTTACTGAGCTATAATGGCCATACAATAACCCTCATGCTTAAAATATAAAATCTGATGTGTTCTGCCCTACGTGCATGTCTGTGAAACCACCATCAGCATCACATCTCCCTAACCATAAAGGTAATATGCACGCCCTCCTCCGCCGACTGCAGGTATGTAGTAATGATCTGCTTTATGTCACCAGCTCTGTTGTCATTGGTGCAAGGATTTGGAAACATACAAAAACTCTGTTGCACAACCATCTCCAAGGATCTCTGAACTGCATGTGACTTAATATATGGAAACTGGAGTATATGTCCTTCTGGGACATATACTAAGCAAAGAAACTAGAGACAAACTTTAAACAGGCTTCCATTACCATATCATTCATGTTCATGCTGGTGCTGTGATATGGAAACACACATACACACAGAAGCAAGCATGAGCTGCCATCATTTTGCAGTTACGTGGGACCGGAAAAACGACCATCTAAACTAATCCATGAAGTGCAATCTTATAAAATCAATGGGGAAATGACAATTGTCTGATGGCTATTAAAAACCTGTCAGAACACTGAAACTTTCTTCCTGCCAATTATAAATGTATGGAGAGACAAAAAGAATACAGCTAGTGTTCACCGAGTACGCTAATTTAAAACAATAGAAACACTGAGAATAAAAGTGTCTTGTTTCTTCCTTAAAATCTTACAGAAGTTTGAACACAACTTGTCTCTTCCTCATCACAAAACTTATGAGATGAAGGAAGCATTTCCTCTAGGCTTTGGCACTGCCAGGCTGCCATGGAAGCTGAGACGAGCTAATGCTGTGTATCTTACAGGCTTTCTGTGTCAGGAAATATGCCTGAGAGTTCCTTTAATGTGACATTTTTGGTTGGCATCACTTACATGAGGACATCTTCATCTTTTTCAATACCATGACTTTCCCCTTTTTTGCCAGCAAATTCAACTTCAGACAATTCCTCTGGCTTGAAACCATGAGTGGCTTGAAGGGCAGGGCAGGCCCGCACTGTGAACAATCTGTTCGCTCTCCCCAGCTTCCCACAGGGCCATGGTGTGGGGCAGCAGACTTTCTGCAGTATCACACGTGCGGAGCCTGGAGTCACTTCCTGCCACTATGCTTAAATATTTTCATCTGCATGTGTTCTGACATACTTCTTCAAAACATCAACTGACAATACTGCATGATCACCAGTTACACAGCAATAATAACAGGTCTAAAAGCTCACCTAAGATTACAGGCTTGAAAGGTTGAAGTAAGGCCAGGGCACACCGGCTGGATTAATGACGCTGTGTTTGGTGGTAAAAAGCAAATTAACTTTGACAAGGAGAAACACAACCACATTCTTTGCTGTTTGTGGTGACCAGTCACCAACAGACTCTGAAGAAGTGATGTCATATCAATCACAGGTCATGTGACAATCAGGTTGTTGATTCAGTGATCTCTGGACTGAGGGGTCAAAAGTGAAGCTCATACTTTATGCAATTAGTCATCAGTACTATATCATGGTAACTAAGACAAATATGTATATTTTTTGAGCCCAGACTGGAGTGCAGTGGTGAGATCCAGGCTCACTGCAGCCTCAACCTCCTCGGCTGAGGTGATCTTCCCACCATGCCTGGCTAATTTTTGTATTTTTTTTTTTTTTGTAGAGACAGGGCTTTGCCATATTGCTTAGGTAGTGCTGTTGAAGAATTGGTGTTGCTTATCTTAACTTTGGGAATTGAAATTCATGGACATTAAGAATGTACAAAGCAAGATTTTCTAC